TGGTTACTTTGGTGCAGGCATGAAAATTGACCAAGACCAGAACTCAAACGGCGTACTGATGGAAGTAAATGAAACACTGATCCGACTACGTTTTCTGAAACATCTCGTAGTCCTTCCAGTGGGACGCTTCTCCAGCCCACAGAGCCAAGTTTGCCCGCGAGTGGTGCCGACGACAGCTGCCCGACTTCATTGGTGAAGAGGGATGGTCATCCTATTTTCTAGAACTTGACTCACTTGATCCCACGACCGGTCCCTGGTTAGAAGAGGACCTGTAGAGTTTGCAATCCCAGTTTGGAGTCCTAGAATGCAAAGGCTGAAGAATGGCTGGGAAGAAGTGGAGGAGGATACCTGCATGCCACTTGCGATCAAGTCGAGAGCAATCTTTGACTTCTATCCGCGCTCATGAGGGATATATTTAAAGGCGACTGTAGCATGTTGTAGCAAATAGTGTTAGCTAACGTGCATAGAGATTCCATCGTCTCTCGCAGCGGAGAAGTTTGAAATATATTGCTATAAATCGGCGCCAATAATTTTGGGACACCCTGTATTACGCGCACACAAGTGAGTAGCGTCCCACAAGCTTCGCGAGTCACGAACAAAATTTCAATCTTGGACAGGAGTCGAGCCCGTGCTTGTGGTAGCCACGTGCACAATTACGGGTTTCCTTCCCATCGTATTCTTTGACTATTGCACCACCGAGTCGCGCTATCGAGACGGAATTGGGTTTCGGTTGTGAAAGGGACAAAGTGGCAGTTCGGATAGCCCAAGAGCGGAATCGAGCCCCGTCCGAGACCAATGATTTGCCCTTGTCTCGCAATCTTTGTGAAATTTCCGGATGGCGTACTGAGGTCAAATATCAGCAGTTAACAAAACATCAAGTCAAAATAATTAGTGTCATTTTGTGAGGTTTCAGCAAAACTTCCCGAACATTCCGGGAGAAATCTGAATACAGAGATATACTTTCTGTTACACAATAAGATCACAAACATAAGAATGTTAGACACCAGCCTCCATACAGTAATAGCGTTGTTTAATCTGAAGAAGTATGAGCCTGATGAGCACCGCTAAGCTATTAGTGCGAATGCCTCTACGAATTCTTCCCTGAACATAGGTATTTTTGGAGACAATCACTGAACGACAACTGTCATGAGCGATTTGCTATCCAGAGGTGTCTTTCGGAGTGATTCTCGGTCTACTGGACTCTTATCACTAAACACCGAATAAGTTCCATAGAGTTTAGTGGGCTGGGCTATCATAAGTATCCCCAGTATCCACACCGTGGACTGTGTATGCGCATTTATACTTGTTTACGGAGGCAGAACCCTATTGGCACAGCAAAGCAGTCACCTTCTCACCTATTGCCCCTTACGGGCAGGTAGGGTAAAGAACTTACGGGCGTAAAATGTGAACGTGCCAGCTTGCAAATTAATAGTCACCAGTTCTCACCTGAAGTGTCCCCCGTCTATGAGCATTGAACAAATTCGCCAGAACACTTTTTGTCCAAGCAATTGAGTTATTGTGGAGCGATAGACTTGTTTTACGTTCATGCATGGCTGGTTTACTGCCAATCGTTGCTCGTGTTTTGATGTTTTCGTTTGGTTGTGAGTGATTGATTTTGATGGCTTTTTGTTGACTTCGAACATTGTTGGTGTCGATTTCTCACTCATTGCTCTGCTCTGTGGTGTAGGGTGACTCCTATCGATCTTCATTTATCTCTCACCAGGCTTAAAAATCTTTTGATTGATACCTTTTCGGTATGCGCCCCGTTCTCAACTTATATTCAGAATCGCAGTTGCCTATTGAGTGCGTATGTGGCCCATACAATGGTTTGGGGCAGCCAGTAGCTGTACAAGTCGGTGCTCTTATGCTACCATATACATAGTTTGGTACCAACATATGCTGACCCCGGGAGTGGGAAGCTATATGGACCTAGGCGTGTTTCAATCCGGAATTAAATTTTCGAATAATGCAGGTGATGGTACGCCACTTGTTCCCACTCCAACTTCGCTCCTATCTTTT